TTTAATAAATTTATTAATGTGACAGCCCTCATATTTGGTCTCTCAAGGGTTCTATTTTGACGATATTTCACTTTTTAGGGTGTTTTATTCTTACTTGCACAATTTCTAGGAGACTTCCCAAAATGTCACCCATCCTTATATTACTCCAGGTCAAACAACCTTAACTGTGAAGTTCTGATGAGATAAGCTACCGAAATGTATATGCATGTTGTCAGTATAAATTAGAGCTGTCAAAGTGGGCCGGGACCCGTGGGCCAACCCGGCCCACCTTGAAAACGGGCCGGGCCGGGCCAAAAAAAATTGAAGTTTTATAGTAGGTGGGTATATTTCAACCCGGCCCACTTTGACCCGGCCCACCCGGGCTAAACCCGTGGTGGGCCGGGTGGCCCACCAACCCACCATTTTTTTTTTCAATAAAAATTTGAATATGATTTGTAGTTTATTTTGTATGATGATATATTGAAAATTTTTATTTTAAACTTTTATCATGATTTGTATTTAATTTTGTATGATGAATTATGACTTATAACTATTAATGATGTTAATTTTATGACTATTATGTTAATTTATAATTAATTTAAAATTTTGAATTTTGTTAATAATTTTTTTTTAATTTTTGGTGGGCTGGTGGGTTGGCCCGTATAACCCACCAACCCGTGGTGGGCCGGGCCGGGCCAAATTTTTTTTGAAAAAATTACAAGTGGGCCGGGTTGGGTTGGCTCGTTTTTAAAGTGGGTCAAGGTGGGCCGGCCCACATGGGCCGGGTTGGCCCGTTTTGACAGCTCTAAACAGAACTATACATAAATTTCTTTCCCGTGAGCAGAAAGGCAACCATGAACAGCCAAGTGTCTGTCAAGGTTTCAATCCTACTTTTCTCGCCTGTTGCTCTTCTAAGAGCATCTTTAATAGCATAGTTTAAAAAATCGGACCGATCATCGACCCGATTATAAGGTACTAGGTCAGTAGGTCAAAGATTGAACTGGTGAGTCATTAGTTAAACCGCATGACTTAATTTTTATTTATTTTTATTAAAAAATATTCATATTAAATATATTTTATACTTATAAATTTTAATAAATTCATATCTTATTTTAAATTTAAATTTTTCTATCTTATTTAAAATTATTTTTATTTTTATTTTGTAAAAAAATACATAAAAAAATTACATGTTAAACTGTATATTAATACAAATTAAAAATATAAATAATATGTACATATATAATATGCTTGCAATTGATATCACAAAATAATATATGTAATATCTACGTAGATATTATATTATTAAATATATAATTTAAAATTAATAATATACTATAAAAGTTATTTAAGTTGTATATATTACAAACAAATACATTAGAACAAGTAGTCATTGTTATATTTAACAAGACTCTTTGCTCTTCCATTAAGAGATTCAATTTTCATTATTATTTTTGTGGTTTATGGTTCCTTAAGTTTTTTTTTTTTAAAAAATAAGAAAAAAAAAGTGGTTGAACCGGTTTGACCCACCGGTTTACCGGTTGAATCGAAAAATTGATCGGTTCAATCCAGTTTAAAACGGGTCAACTACATAACCGATCCAACTTAAGATCTAGACCGGCTGGACCACCGGTTCCTGATCCGACCGATCCGACTGGCCGGTTCGATCCGGATTTTAAATCACTGTTTAATAGTATCATAGTTCTTTTGTTTTTTAAATCATACTTGTATCTTTTATTTTACCACCATTTTTTTTTCAATCCATAATACTCCAATTGAGGCCTTACTTAAAAGCATATGAATCTAGTTTTACATAAGCCAATGACTTACTAATCCAATGTTGTAGTTATTTAACTATATTATTTATGACTTTTTTATACAAACTTAATTATGGCTTAACTTTTTAAATGTAATTGCTACCAATAGGACTTGCAGGTTATTTATTTGCATATTATTGACACTTTAGTTGGTTATTAAAAGTGAACTCTTAAATAAATCATTGAAAGTTTTATCTGTCTATATCTGTAAACTACTTATATTCATTTTAGTTTTTAAAGCAACTTAAGATGCTCTAACTACTGTCGATGGTACCATTGGTTAATAGTAAAAGCAACTTAAGATGCTCTAACTATTGTCGATGATTCTTTATATTTTTTCATTGTTAATCGGCATTCTTGTAGGTTATAAACAAAATAATTGAATTCAAGTACACTAGGCTCTTGTTAATGAATCGTCCATTCCAAGTGCGATATATGAATTGGCATACGTTATAGGTTTAAGAAAAAGTGATTAGTTTTATGGAGCGACCTTTGATTCCTTTAACTGTCTTGTCACCGAGGCCTCTGCTCTGGAAAGGGTGGAAATGAAACATAATAACACAAACAAATCAGATAAAGGGTCAGGGTATCAACAAAGATTGACGCGGCAAAAGAGGTTAGAGTGAAAACATTTTTTATTTATTTTCTCACCTTACTTTCTTGCTCAATTCCCTGCGAAGAAAAGCCTCTGAGATTAATAAAATGAAATGATTCTGAAGAGGGTTGGCCCATAAGAAAGAACACTTTCTAAGATTCTGAGCCATGAATAAGGCCCACCCTTGTGTCAAAATAGGGCAAAGAGTCCACTTCCAGGGTTAATGGGCCCTTTAAATTATTGAAGTAACGCGGTGGCCATGTTCTTTTTTATTTCAATTTGCAAATGAAGGATAGACACTAATTCACACTGATGAGATGAATATGATCCAAAGATAATTATGAAGCCAGGGAAGAAGAAAAAGGTAAACGGGTAGGTATGCTACAATCATTCCATGATTAATTCAAAGTGGCTATGTCCCCCTAACTTAGATTCTTTCAGAAGATTCCATATGTTACCACAATCATAGTTTAATTTCGCTACCACTGTCAAAATAATTATGTAATTGGTTTCACGTTATTCATTCTCTTTTAGTCATTTTCTGCTTTATGATATTATTGA